TACATTCATAAGCTCGAATCGAACTACCACTTGGAGGAATAGTTTGGATTTGATCGGCACAAAGCCTGTCGGCACATAGTTGTCATCCGGTCACACCGAACAAAGTGCCGATCCCTATGCCACTCACCCTTATGAAGTTATGCAGGGCACAACATGCAACAATGATTTGACTTTGTATATGGGGGGCATAACTAGGGACTTCTTTCATCATCCGCCACTTCATTTTCAACACTCCAAATGACCTTTCTATGGCATTCCTAAGTGACGAATGTGCATAATTGAAGATCTCAGTTTTACCTTGGGGTTCTGGTGACTCTCGGTACTCCTGTAGGTGGTACTTTGTTCCCTTATACGGTGCAAGATAACCTGGTCGGTTAGCGTACCCCGAGTCCACAAGGTAATATTTGCCTATACCATCCAAACAACAATTAGTATCACGAACTTGTACTTGTATGCACAAAAGCACAACCAACTAACTGTATACCTGTTGGTGGATGTGGAAACACATTGATGTATGTTGTTGTCGCATCGGTGAAGACCCTCATGTCATGTACTGAACCTGGCCAGCCAGCTAGGACGAATGTAAATCGCATGTCGAAGTCACACACAGCCAAGACATTCTGTGTTGTCATCCCCTTGCGGCACAGGTGCTGCGCAAACTTATCACTAGGCACCACATAGGGGACATGAGTCCTATCTATCGCCCCTATACAGTCCTTGAAGTAGGGATAGAACCTAGGATTTCTTAGCCTATCATGCATAGTGCTGAAATTTGGGTCATTAGGCCTAATGATGTCAGAAGCAAGCTTGACAACAGACTTCAACACCCTGTGAAACATGCTATGCACAGTTCCTAGTGACCTCTCAAACCTGTCCTCTGCTTGCCTAACAGATTGTGGAGCCTCCACCATCCACAGAAACATTCCAAGGGCCTCAATAGATGCGGATTTGCTATTAGATTTCAGCCCATATGATTCTACCAACACATCATGCAGACTGTGGAACATATCAGGGCTCATTCTGAACATGTTATAACAGGCCTTCCCATTTCCTAGTTTACTATATACCCATTCCAAACCAGTAATGACTGGCTGTCTATACTCTGACCTTGACAAGTGCTTGTCAATGTGGTAGGCATACTGGTACATACCGTACAGGAAAGCATCGTCATCATCCTCCGCCTCCATCCAGTCACTGATGAACTCGTCCAAATCATTCTCATAACAATCTTGCCTCGAGGACATCATCCCCATCACTATTGCTTGGACATCCTCCTGTCAAAATGAAAAACAGTTCCAATCAGTTTTCAACATCAACTAGGCACCATTAGCATGCATCCCTATTCGAACTGACTCATGCCAGTTACTCAAAATCATGCACTACATACATCAACCGATCATAGCCATATCTAGTCATACTACAAATAACCAGTTCAAGTGTTCGACATGACATACTTAGGTCAATGACAAATGACACCCACCACACCTCACATAGTTCTAATGACATAACTTAGTAACTACGTAGAAAGCTTAAGAAAATAAGGTCTAGGGGAGGACCCCGATGTATTGCTTAATCGTCAGCATCCTTCCTTGGGGCGAGGAGCTTATGAAGAAGTTCATAACAGGCTCACTCTGCACGATCTTGAGCATGGCCATCCACTCAGCTGGGGTCTCTTCAGTTGCACCACACTGTCTTGCCAGTTGTAGCACTAGTTCCACCTTCCTCTCCAGCGCCTTGCTGTTGTCCTCAATTTTTTGGTTTCTCTCTTGCCACATGGCTGTCATCCTCTCAAGCCTCTGCCTTGAAATCTCGTTGTGTTCCTTCATGTGACCATCCATGGTCCTGACAGCGGGGCTCTTGGACCGCTTGCTCAGCCGGAGGCGACAGTCTTTGGTGTTGCTTGCCCTCTTAGTGCCGACACTAAGCGGCGTAAGTTGGTCATCGTGCTCATCATTGGAGTTGTCATTCAACTTTCAACGTCAATCTGTATTGCTTTTGTGCAGATGAACGAGGTTGAGCCATCAACAGCGTTGCCGGCGAACATCCGGTCCAAATCGTCCAAGTACGGAGGCCACCCGTCCTTGAGCTTCTTCCAGTCCGGGTGTCCCTGAAAAACCGGCATAGGTGAATCATTGAATATTAACATTTTAACAGTACATGATTCAACATAAGATTGCTTACATACCACCGTACGAGAGTCCCACCAAGCATCAGTAGCAAGGATGGAGCCATCGTCTCTCCTGCCTAAGCCAGTGCCTTTCCGGAGGTCGTTTATAAAATGCCACAAATGCTTGAGCTGGCGTAACTTACTTTTGAACTGGTCCTTGTCATGAACCAATGTTGTTGCTGCATAATACCTTGCAATTAGATCTCTCCACCCCGATTTGTTCATGCAGCCACGGACACAGTTGCCACTGTCAATTTGGTGGCACCAGATTTGGCAAAACTTGCTTATATTGGCCTCTGACCAGGTTCCCCTGTAGTTCCTAGCCTAAACGATTTCATAAGAAATGATTTCACACCGACGAACAGGCAACGATGGGGAGAAAAGCAAATGCTTCGAACATAATAGTATACATGAGCAATGCAAGGTAGACGATGGGTGAGGAAAACTACCGGGATGTGACCCACGGGGGTAGCATGCATCGGGTTCACGATGTCGTCGTCCACGTGTGGGACAGCCCCGCGACGGCGGCGACACCGGCCCCTTCCTCCACCCTCGACGGCTAAGGCAGAGGCACGACCACGACGATGCGGCACGACGCGGTCGCCTCCGATAACCGATGTGGCGCGGCCTCCGTGTCGTCGCCGCCTCCTCCAAAGCGGGGCGGGAGGCTGCTTTCAGAGGTGAGGTTCCGCCGCCGAGGAACACGGACGGAGGCGGCCCCATCGCTACCACCGTGGTCGGACGAAGGTCGGCGTCGTAGCCATCCATGCCGCCCCATCCCCGCCGTCATTGAGGTCCGGGAATCCAGCCCAATGGGAGGGTTGACGCCGCTGGACCCGTGTGCACGTGGCGCCCGGTCGGTGAAGCCTCTCGACACCGACGAACCCAAAAGCGGGTTCCCCCCCGCAGGAAGTTCCACGTGCCGTCGTTGCTGCCGGAGCCGCCGTCGAAGTTCGCGTTGCCGCCTCCGTTGTAGCCCTCATCAGGGAAGCCGTCCATCTAGGAAGCCGCGGCCGTGCAGCGACTAGATCCGCCACGCCTCGCAGAGATCTACCAAGGCGGGCGGGGTGGTGGATCTAAGCGGGCGCGCGCTTTAAGCTAAGCGGCGGCGAAGCGGCGGGCCACCGAGGGGAGAGATGAGTGCGGGGAGAGCGGGCTAGGGTTGACGAATGCGCGAATGGAGGGGTGGTGCCTGCCGACGCTGTGTGCCACGCGGTTTTGCGGCTGCCGTTGGGCCTCGTGCCGAAAACGTACGCGGGCCGCTTTTCACCCCCCGTTTAGTTCCAAACTCCAAAAACTGGCCCAATTTCGGAATTTGGCTCCCCAACTAAACACGGGCTCACTTGCTGTTGCTAGGCACTGCACGTTGATGTCCAATCATTTTAGAAGATTACTACTCCTAGTACTTGTTTCCAGTTGCCTTTGGGCATAGAACAGTTATTCTTGGAGGAGGGTTGGTTTCCTAGGTGACTGATCCGGCCATAATATACTCCCGTGATTTTCTGCTGCACTGGCAGCAGAAATCGAACGTACATACGACCACCGCAATGCGTGAAGGCACGTAGGAAAGGAAGAGCGGTACGCCCTCAGCGGTTCAGCCATAGTCCTCAGCTAGTACGTCTCCCATTTTCCATGACGCGTACAACGCGGCGTTTTGCAGCCGAAGCACCGCGCCTCGCCGCCTTGGGCTACCTAACTCAACAGCAGTTCGACCTCGCCGCACCGTCGACTCCCGCAGACGCGCGCCGGCCGCCACCCCGCTCCGCCAGGCCGCCCGCCCGCCCGTTGCGCCAGAAGTTGCCGCGGCGAAACAAGCCCGTGGCTCCCACCCCATTGTTAGCAACCCAACTCGATTCAAGTAACAAGCAAGATACAAGATCTCAGGGGAAGGGAGATCGGAGCAGAGAAGGAAGGAAGAACAGGGTATAGAGAGATAGACTTGGGGAGGACGATGAACACTAAAACTAGGAAGCAGTATTCTGATGTAGGATAATTTCTCTGATGGCTTGCTTTGGCGTCCTCGTCCCCTTATGTAGTTGGAGGAGTCCCACTTGCCAACCGGTCTAGGTCCCACATGGCAGTATACTAACATTCCCCTCTCTATGAAATGCGGCTTGCCCCAAAGCCGCCGACATTGTAGCCGACAATTTGTCCATCAGAGTCTTCGATTGTACAGGAACCATGGGATCAGACATTTCAAGTCTCCCGCTAGTTTAGGAATAGAAGAGTATGGACCATGATTCGAACTTCTGAATAGCAATAACTTGCGCCCTGTTCGCTGGGCTTATAAGCCGTACTTTTCTAACCAACAAACAATATTTTTCTCTCACAACAAATCAGCCAACAGTACTTTCAGCCAAGCAAACAGGCACTTGGACTGCTTATCAGCTCCAAAGCTGCAGACAGACGGCCAGAGAACAGCACCAGCATGAGTGAGATGCAACCAATCCACTTGAGCTGCATTCCCCAGTAACTCAATGAAGCCCTTCCAACACTGCAAACTGAATTCATAATGGATTGACATCATTAGGCCTTGATTCACAGAACAACTAAAGGATGGCCAAGGTACTGGCCGACGGTGAACACCATCACTGAACATCTCAAGCTGATTGGGTGGTGGCCATGGAGGTCTGTACTGCACAGCAACCAAACCTAAACCAAGAGTGAACAGAAAGCCCCTCACTTCATCTGCATACAGGTCACCCAATATCAACTGAACCACCACGTCCATTTCCAGCAACTTGACTTGTATACCCACCAGACTAGGTGGAAGTCTGTAGCACACCATTGTCAACACACTCAATGCTCCACTGCATCTCCTTAACCACAACACTCAGGAAGCCACCAAGACACTGAGCAAATCCATCTTGGATTGAGCCTTTGGCATCAATGAATGGAAATGTGCCACTGGAAAAATCAGATATAGCATGCTTAGCAGCAGATCATGATCGGAGCCGAAACTGAAGGTGTGGAACTGGACATGATGGCCATCAGGGAGAAGAACGATAGCAGCCTTCTTGAGCCCATGAGCAATGTTTGTGCCACCACTTGCTACAAGGAAACTGATAAGCATAGGGATGTCCAGGAACCTGAAGTCGTTGCCAATGGCCGCGTCGTGCTTCGCCTCCTCGAGGAAGCGCTCGGGCCGGAACTCCTGTACTGAGTGGTAGCTCCACATTTCGTCGAACACCCTAGCTGCAGGAACGGAGTGAGCACCTGACTTCCTCAAAGCGACAGCCAGGACCAGCGGGGAGGCTTCTCGTGGTGGAAAAGGGATTGGCGAGCTCGGACGCGCCGTGGTGGCCGGCGATGGACTGCGTTGCGGACCTCGTGGAGACCTGCGCCACCGTCATCTGGCTGGGCTCGGCGTACCACGCGGACATCAGCTTCGGGATCGAAAGCGATGATGACGATGGGGTCGCCGTGCGCGCGGTGGTCGCGGCCGCAGGGGTCGACGCGGCTGTCTTTGAGAAGCATCAGCGAGGAGTGGACGCGGCTCATCTTGTCGGTGAGGAGCAGAGGCGTGTTGCCGTTGATGTCGACGAGCACGTAGTTCTGTACGAGCGAGTCGGCCTCCGCGGAGCCAGGGGCGATGGCGCAGATGGGTGTTGGGATGGACGCTTCGGCCACCGCGGCGGCAGGCAACCGCATCCCGGCGCGGACGGAGAAGAGGGAGCCGGGCACTCGCGCATGGAACGTCGGTTTTGGTAATTGAGCGACGGTGAACTAATACATTTTTGAGTCAGCACAGCTAATTAGTATACAAGTATATGTGTGTGATCAACACATGCTGCGGCAGAACCGTCCGAAATAGCATACTTACGGAGACGCTCATCTTCTACTGGACACTAATCATCTCAAAAGCAAGCTACAACGAGTGGTGTCCGTTGAGCACACCTCTAAAAATCCACATTTTTCCCAACGATCCAATAATGAGAACGAGTTACAATACAAGTCCATTTCATACATTAGAGTTTCTTAAAAAGTACATTATTACAATACCAAATACCAAAGTGTGCGAATGATAAACAGCGGAATTTAAAAAGATAACATCTAGCGATAAGGTGGCGAGGATCCCGTCTGAGCCCACCAGAAGGATCCTCCACATAAGGTACTCTTTAAGCATCACCTGCAACAGGGGTAAATAAACCCTGAGTACACATTGTACTCGCAAGACTTACCCGACTAGTGGGAATAATTTCTCGACTCCAAGGAATATGCTAGCCTTTATGGATTGCTGGTTTTCTTTAGCAGAAAGCAATACTAATAATGAGTCCTTATTTATGTATTATTATTATCAACCGTATTAAGTTATAATCTAGCCAATCTATATAAGCATATGTCTATTTTTAAGCAAGGGTTGAGCAATCAGTTATATTTCTTCTCCTTTCTCCACTTTTAGTTCTTACTACGGTGCTAAACCGCAGACAAGCCGTACCGGATCGCCCAGCGATTCGTGAATCAATGTGCCCAGCTTGGTGCACCGAAAACACACGCCCCGCTTGTACCCCTGGCACAAGCAGGACTAACCCACCACTCTCCTGTCACGGGTGTCCAGGTCCCCGTCCAAACTTGGACTCCAAGCCCCCACTCCTGAGTCTCGGACTCAGTACGGTGCAATGACCTCCACCACCTCCTCTTCCCATCAGTCGGTCCGAAAAGAGTCAGATCCGCGACAAGAGAGCAGCGAGCCTTCCCTGCGCCAATACCCAAGTATGCGCTCGGGACAATAATCTATGACTTTCCTAGAGTCATATGCAACGACCGGTCCTTAATCAACACAGACAGGAAAAAAGTGTAACCAAGCTATGCCAAGTTGGCCGCAGGACACATCCCTTTATACCCACCAATACCCAAACCATATCCCTGCCGGTCACCATTTACCTTTCCATCATTTTATCATGAGTTTTCATATTTTATCACCTATTTACGAGCAACGGCAGGTTACTCACGCTACCGATATCCTGAGCATAGCAGCTACTCGACCTGAACTAGTAGGACTCATGGGTAGATATATTTATGCAGGTAGTTTCCATAAAATGCCTGTAACGTAAATGCACATCATATATATATTCAGTGATCATTTGAAAATAGGGGTTATGCACCGGGGCTTGCCTTGGGCAGGCGTTGGGTCCTAGGCTTCCTCCTGTGCGAAGATCTCCTCCTCGTACTCCTCGATCACCTCATCGTACTCCGGCTCGTTGACGGGCATGAAATCTACCAGTTCGTGGTCTACATGAAATGATGATGCAATGCTTAGGAATATAACATCAGCAGCTCTTACAATACAGTACATTGATTTAACTATCAAGCTATTGCTATCGACAACCAACATAAAATATGGCATTCATCATTATTATAGTCACTACCGGTATTTTTACTCCTAACACTGATTTACACGATATACAAATAAACAAGGGCAATATATACTCTTAATAACAACCCATTCTAAGACCACAAAACTTACAGCAGGTACTTAATAGCCTACAAGTCTACTGCAATTTTTTTTGTGTCTATAGCTATCACCAATTACCCACGAATATTCTTACAAGTATTAATCTTCCTAATATCAGTGCTTTAGTTTTGAATTTATGACCCAATACTTGGCATAGCTAACTGCAATCTAACTATACTATCAAGTAGATGGTATTTTTGTGAAACTAACAAAATTAGTTTCACTATTTTAGGACAACTATGCAATTTACTACGATTTATCAAAGTTGGATTCATAACTAAAATAAATAAACATGTCTATTCTCTGGAATTTAAGAAACCGAAATCTGGCCCCGCGGCCCAACACACGCTGGTTCGGCTCACCTCACCTTCCCGCCCGCGCGCGTCAGCAGACAGTTTTGTGGAAACGCCCCCGAACTACTTGACATTTACCGCGAGTGCTGATACACTATTTACCCAGTCTAGGCTTTTACAGATACGCCCTCCGAACTACTTGTCTTTCCCCTCGACGATACCCCTACGCCACCCGCGCGCACCGGCGACCCACGCCGGCCACCTCAGGCCTCCCCCTCCCAAACCAACGAGCCGACTCATACCTAGACGCGAACGCGAAGTGTAAGGCGAAGGAAACGCGCACCGGGATGCAGCAGCGGGCTCGGACCACGACAGCGGGCACCCTGCAAACATGGCGACGCCGTTTCGGTGAACGTCAGCAAGGCCGGGGCCAAACAAGTAGCAGATGAGCACCAGCGACTCACCACGGAACCTTACAACGCGGTGACTCGACCGGAGATGGCTCAAGCCGAGCCGGCCACGTGTGCGCGATGTGGTGCGGCGGTGCACGGCAATGGCACGGCTGTGCCAGGGACTGCTATACGGCGGTAGGGCTTAGGCTGTGGCAAGCACGATGACACCCGACTGGAGGAGAGGCTAGTAGCGCGAGGAATTGGACCGAGATGCCTTGGTTGCTTGGTTAGCCGATGGCGCAGGACACCATGGTCTTATGGACTCGGTGAGCGGCGATTCCAAATTGAAGCACAAGACTGATCTACAAGCGGCGATGTGGGGTCGGTAGGGCTGCAGGCTACCTAACGGAGTCGAACACGTGGTCAATTTGAATCAAGACACTGCTACCACGACGAATTTGAAAGAAGCGTGTCGGCGGCCATGGAGACAGCGGAGGCAGGGGGGTCCTGTCATGGCTTGGCTTGGTCCATCTACGGCGTCAACGCAACGAGCCAACACACCACTACGGGAACAGCAGGACAGGCGAGACGTGCCCCAGACGGCTGTCTGCATGGCCACTGCGGCAAGGCGATGAGCGCGGTATGGCGCCACCGCGGCGGGCAGCGCCAAACAAATGACGCAGTGCGATGCGACGCAGAGTGGATGGTGGAGCAGGCGGACGTCCTTCGAGCGAGCAGCCAAGGGAAGTCAGCGATCAGTACCGTGCGTGGCCACTGGCGACGTGAACACGGGACCCAGTGCGCCTACGACCAAAGCGGGGCAGGACAAGGTTCGGTGGAGCTTGGTCGGTGCCCTGGGCACAGCGCATCAGCCGGCGAGGTGACCCGCGTGCCCGTGAGGCAGCAAGCAGCCAAGGCAGTAGCGCAGGGTTAGCGCGTGTCGCCGTCACGGCGGCATGAAGACGTGGTCTGCGCCTCGGCGCGCAGGGTGAGTCAGCAGCAACGACAGGCCGGGCAGTGGCGGCGGTCGAGCAGCAGCGGCGGGCGTGGCCGGTAGCGAAGGCAGACGGCCCTAGTGCACATCGCCAGAGCCATGCGCGGGCACCGGCGTGGCGGTGGGCGTAACCGGCGCGGCGGTGGAACACGGCCGGCGCGGCAGTGCGCTGGCAAGCCAGCAACGTGCCAGGCCAAGCGGTGACCGCACCCATGCCAACTCAAGTGTCATGCACGCATTTTAAAGCAAGTAGAAAACTTGTTTGCAAAGCTCCAAACGCCAAACTACTTGTTCGATGCGCAAGAGGGTACATCAAGCTATCAATCGAAGCAGTGACATTGCGCTATTTCCTAAGCAGATCATTCTACAAAACTAGCCAAAGTTAGCTTCGTCGACCTTCTTTCAAGCCTATGCGAATGGGCGTCGTTCCGAACGGTTTCACGTCGAACCCCAAATCTAGCCTACTCGATGTACTAACCAGCTATCCTTGTCCGCGACCGCACCTATTACATCGCCATTAGCCAAACGTCCTGTAGCATTTTTATTTTCGACAACAATTCGATTAGAATACTAAACAATATTATATGAAATGTAACCTTTGTCTCATGTTTCGTAAGAATGTTTCAGGTGCCGAATGTCGAATTATAATTCATGTCATACACATATGCACATAATTATGATGCTTAGGAAATGTTTAGCAGGAATAATACAATGTAACAAAGAGGGTGTTACAAATCTACCCCCCTAAAACAAAATCTCAACCCGAGATTTCATGTGCCTAGTGAGAGAAAGAGACAGGGAATACATTTGTGGTGCAGCAACTAACTATTGGAACCCGAGAGGAGGTGGGGGTAATGCTTTAGTATGTAGCTCTCTTGCTCCCAGGTGGCTTTGTCTTCTGAATGATTTTGCCATTGCACCTTATAGAATTTTATCACCCTGTTCCTGGTCACTCTCTCCTTCTCATCCAAGATTTTTATAGGATGCTCCACATAAGACAGATCATGTTGGAGTGGAAGTCCTTCAATTTCCACAGCTTCTTCAGGAACCTGCAGGCATTTCTTCAATTGTGAGACGTGAAACACATTATGAACCGCTGAGAGAATTTTAGGAAGCTAGAGACGATAAGCAACGGGGCCATACTGCTGCAACACCTTGTATGGACCCACATACCGAGGGGCTAACTTGCCATGGACACCAAACCGATGTACCCCTCTCATAGGGGATACCTTGAGATACACATAATCCCCAGCTACAAACGCCAAAGGCCTTCTTCGCTTGTCTGTGGAAGCCTTTTGTCGGCTCTGAGCTGCCTTCAAGTAGCTGTGAATAATACTTACTTTCTCTCGAGCCTCTTTTATGAAATCAGGCCTGAAGTACCCACGGTCTCCTACTTCAACCCAGTTCAATGGCGTTCTACATTTCTGCCCATATAAAGCTTCAAATGGTGCCATTCGGATACTCTCTTGGTAGCTGTTATTATATGAAAATTCAGCTCGCTTTAAACACTTATCCCA